CTGAATAACAATTTTTGTAGTGGGTAAAAGGCTACTAAAATGGCTATGTTATGTTTCGTAATTACTAAATTCTATCTAATGAAATTACATTCTTATTTATTCTCCATGCACATCTTTCTATAAGAACCGAGCACTACAATGTATAAGAATGTAATTCCATAAGATAGAATTCAATAATTACAAAACATAACATAAACATTTCAGCAGCCTTAAATTACGCATTACAAAAATTGCTTTGTAGAATATTCTTGACATTTTGTTGAGAGCCGACAAGAGTAATATGATTGGCAATTATTAAATCAATTATCTTGATTTAATAATATTTTGAAAAAATGAATGATATTCTAAAAGACACAAGTCTATACATATCTCATAGTGATTAAAAACTCTTATAACAGTATTCAATGCAACCTTCAAAATCTTCAAGAAAGACGAAGAGCCAAATCTCTTATAACTAATGCTATACATATATCACTGCCTTAAATGCAGTGATCTTGTTCTTCATAGAGCCTATATGTAGTTCTTCATAGAGCATATATATATATATATATATAGATATGTATTTGTATTCTATAGATATATATTGTATATTAACATTAATCAGAATCAGGGAATCGTGTCATGAAGAATATCAAATCAAACGAGATGATGTAAAATAATATATTGTTCACCATTTCCCATAATATGCACAAACAATGGAAAAGAATCAACTAAATCTTCATATTTAATTAAAAGCCATTTTTTACTTTGTTTTACCTCAAACCCACCAATATTGCAATTCAGACCTAGATTTGTAAGAGAAGAACAAACAAAAAGTGGAAAATTATCGTGAATAATAATAAACTGAATTTCCGCAAAGATGGGACAAGAACTTTCATCTATTCCACAAAGCAATACCATTCTAGGTCGATACCGATTACCTTTATAATCGACCCAATTAGCAACAAAACGTGCATCATATCTTATATTATTTGGTAATGATAACACAAAATCATTGAAACGATCATTTTTACTAATATTAAGAATATTCCCTGATCCTACTTGAATGTTAGAAAAAATACTTTCTTGAGCCATAAGTCTAAAACAAAAAAAGAACTGATATCGAGTGGCAATTGAACAAGTGATGTTTTTCCTTGACATGACAACATTCGAAATTTTTTTCAAAAGTTTATGAAAACCCTCAAGCCTAATTACAGATAAGAAAACAAGTGGCCCACATTGCATCATGACTCTGGAGTAGTGAGTGACATTATGATGTTTTGGTTTCAAATGCTGCTTTGTGCATTTCATATACAAATTATGATGTTCTTCCACTAATATTTTGAATGCAGAAGCAGATTCCTGTGATATTGATTTGCTGAAGATAAATTCAATTATTTCTTTTAATAATAAATACAACTTCCAAAATGGGTCACTATATGATTTTATATAATGTCCAACAATTACTCCAAAAAGTTTACAAAAAGTTAACATCTCTGAGGCTGTCATTTTGAACTTGCTTTTTGTTGCAAAATCATATGCTATACAAGGTGGTTTGTTTTGTACATTAGGACCATAATCAAACATTTGCAAGCTATAATTGAGACCTGATAAAGTAAAATCACCATTCTGAATAAAATGATTTATAATTGGAATCATGTCGTAATGAGCGATACCTTCTAGAACATCATGCATAATATCAATATTGTCTGTAACATGAAATGAAGTAATTGCATGAAAAACACACTCCTCTTTTATTCCAGTAAGAGAACTGTCTGCTATAGTTAAATCCATATTATATAATGCACGTGTTCTGAGAATGGATTCATCTTCGAGGCAAGTAGTTTGAGAAATAGTTCGATGCATTTTACAAAATCTACATGTATAGTTAGCTCGGAAACTTTCAACGAATCCACAAATAGCATGAAGACCTAAGTTATCACCCAATAATAAACTTAGCACAAAATAAATTTTATGAAGATTTCCATTAACAGTTATTGTTATTCCAACTTGCTCTAAAAAAATCAATTCCTCAATTAAAGGTGCAAATGTTTGTTTATTTCCAAATTCTTTACGGTCTTCTGTGTTAAACAAGAGAGCTAAAAAGATATTTTTCAATCGAGATACACACTCAGGTGGTAAACATGGTATATAGTAATATACTCCTCCAAGAGAAGTACTGTGAGATCCTAATGGGTTGTTTACTTCCCAATCATCGTAATATACAAATAATGGGAAAACAATATCTTCATCTGCAAAGTGTTTTCTTTTCTCATGCCAAAGTCTGGACTGAATAAAGTTTGTTATAGTATCTGAATCTTTGAGTGTGTTCAGTATCAACACGAACAGTATTCGTGTTCGCGCTGTCCTTTCGCGTAATAAATAGATTGTATTGTTCGTAAATATATTGGTTTATTCGGTCTTAAAATACGCCACAAATTCACAGTGTCTCGCACTCGCGATAGAGATGCCCGCGACGACGTCTCGGGGCTGTCGCCCTGGGTCGCGGACGATTCGCATGTACGCACTTAAAGTTTTGCTTATCGTTTGTCG